TCCTTGTTTTTAGAAAGGTTATTGAGTCCAATAACAGATATTAAGTACATGTTTATTTAAGTGTAAAATCTAATGATTAAAAATGGTTACAGGGAAAATGTGTTATTTTCCTTAAAATGAGTGAGGGTCATTTCATGTAAATGTAAAATGTAAACATTTTTTAACCTAAATAATTCACATTAAAATGGAATAATGTGTGTATTTGAATAATGTGTATTGGCTGATTACTAGGTAGAAATATTAATGGCTTGTGGATATGGAGTAGGGAATCTCATTGCTACCAGTGGCTTGCCTATCACTAGTAGAATTGCATATCTCATTTGAAAATTAACAGAAACATAATTCCATTAAGTAAAGAACCCAATGATCTTACGCAATAAGAGATTTTCAAGTTTAATTATCAATTATATTTCCTGCAAAAATTCACTTAGTTAACGTTCTTTTTCCTCTCAGACCTTCACCTGGATGGGATCACTTTCCAGACATGAAGGGTTTGCTGTCAGCTAGTGTGTAATAACCGCCCTCCATTTGATAGGATTTGTGCAGGCATCACCTTGGTCAATACTCCCCATGGACAAAAATATGTGTTCTGAGTGCTGTGATCAATATTTGGGGAACTGGCACTTCACAACATGATCCTTGTCATATCAAATATCATTGCCAGCCACTGCTTGATTCCCTTTTCCCGACTCGCTTTATCCCAAATATATTCTTAAAGCTGTGTCAATCACGTTTTGTCAATGTGCTTAAGGTCTGTTACATTTTTCTGCTGTCCATCATTATCTTTGCCAGGGATGTCCTGGTGAAGAAAAATATAATACCCCTCAGAGTTAAGAAAATATTATTCTGGGAAGTGGCAAATTATAGGCAGTTATTGCATAATTTCAGAGCGAAGTGAGCAGTTATTTGCCCAGAGGGAACATGAAGTAGCCATGAAGGAAAATGACCCCATGTATCTTGAAAGAAATTAAAATGTAAGAATCGGTGACAATTAGGTGTCTTGGTAGCATAAATCTCTCTCCTTTGTGTCTCAATTTCAAATAGAATGGCTGAGAAAGTAAAGCATTTTCACAGGAATGTGTTAAATCTAAATTTACCACTAAAGTAGCTACTGTCAGATGCTCACAACGAGCCTGGTAAAACATCTAACGTGTCACTGTATCAAGAAAGTTGAAATTATTTTCAAAGACATGGTCATTAGGAAGACTGGCATTAATGGAGAAGGAGGGGCAGTTAGAAGGGTCATCAATTTGGGCAGGTTATAGGCTAGCTACGTGTACACACAGTGGCTATTTTTCTTCTTTTATAGTAATAAAAAAGTCAAAACAGGACATTTTCTAGACAAGTAAATGCATAGGTATAATGGTTTGTGACATTTTGAAAATGTAAATGAACACACAGAATGTCCCATTTCCTAATAGTATAATCTTAACACACATGAATTCTGTCAACAGGGAGACCAAACAAAATTAAGGCCAGAATTACACACACAGAAATAATGTGTAAATCCTACCCACAGCACACCATTCGTGCCTAGGATCTACGTGTGGATTGTATACCTGCATGCTTTTTGCAGGAAGAGAGTGTATATGGAAGAGGCAGAATCTCTTTGAGAAGATCATTTCCACACATAAGGCACCTTATCATTTTCTATCTCCCTGCTACTCCTTCATGTTCATTTTATTGATTCTTTAAAACAAATTTTATCTGCTTTCATTTATGCACACATGCAGGCCAGTTGGTATTTCCTACTACTCAGCTTTTCATAGATTCCTGAGTTCTGTTCAACTTTCTCTTATTCTTATAAAGCTCCAAATCAGCCTGGGAACCCTTCCTCAGGTAGTTGAAGACTATGATCATTTGGCTTAAATGTAAATGATGAGGCGCGCACAGGAGGGGCGTTCCATCGCTAGACCTTTGCCATTCCGCACAGTGCATGAGGCTCAGTCACACGTTCGCAGACTTGGCACGTTTGGTGATAGTGCTGTGACTGCACAACGGGACCCACGCCTTTGCGTGGGGAGGGTGACAGTGGGCTGAGGTGATTTCTCTACAAGTTGTCTTCACACCTTCAATCTGTTACAAAGTAGAATCAATCAAGGCAGAGATCAGGCTGTATATCACTTCCTCAGTGTGGGGGGGTGGGGGTGGGGGTGGGGGTGGGGGGAGGGAGCCCTGGAGAGGCACTGCTACCATTGGCCAAGAAGCTGTTCAGGTAAGTGTGGGAAGTGCCACCCTTTGAGTATGTGCTGCCTGCTATCCCCTGCTATTGAGAGCTCACAGAAACATCTAACTATGGAGAAAACCAATGAGAGCCCCTAACATAATCTTCCTGTGGGTTACAAATTTGCAACCAAGCCTTAAACCCGGGGATAGAGACAACCATTCTGGCTCTTCTTGCCCACGCATGTCTGGACTTACATTTGGAGAGGTTGTAAATAGCTTCTGGAGCATACTGTGGTCCTAGACCTCGTTTCCAACTCCATCCAACCTGTATGTACGTTTTACACTCTGTGTTTTTCAGATGAGACTTCTCTCGGTTCCCCACACAAGCTGTGTGCCTTCACACCCCAAGGCTTTGCTTAAGCTCCTCTCTGTCACGCCCACATCTCTAATTCCTCCCCTTTCTTCAGAGCTTCCTCATGCCTTTCTCAATTCCCCATTCAGAAACACCCCTCCTCTAAGCCACAACGGCAATCTGTTTTCACTCTTTTATGACAATTTGTATAACTGGCTTTATATAGTCAAGTTTTGTGTTTATGCCTGATCTCTTCAATAAGACTATTAACAAATTGAGGGTAGGATCAATTGGTGTATCTATTTGCATATTCCTGAAGACCAATGTTTTGTTTGTTCACTGTTTCCATACACACAGGTGCATAAACTGTTTCCATACACACAGGTGCATAAAGTCTCTCTCTCTCTCTCTCTCTCTCTCTCATACAGTTTATACTCAGTCTTATAATGCAAAGCTCTACTTAGAGATTTCATTAATGTCTGATGGATCATTGCTACCCTCTCTCCCCCCTCCATCCTACCCTAATCATTTGACTTCCAACCATAAAGAGAACAATGACATTATCAAGATTACCAGGAGTGCGGTGTGTGTAGTGTGTGTAGTGCCTGTCAGGCACTGGGCCACTCATGGTGCCACATAGAAAAATTGCAGGTTTTGCGGTGAAGGGGAAACTTGGCACAGCAGGTAGTGTCCTTTTAACTTTCTCCCCTGTCTTTAGGGGTGTGTGTGTGTGTGTGTGTAGCATTTCTTGATTCTCTAGAGAAATCAAGAACTGGTGAGAGTAAAGGCATCATTTGTCCTTCATACCTATGTGTGCCGTGTCCACCTTTTCCTGCAAAGAGCTGACTGTGTGCTTGCTTAAGCGCAGTTACTGCTTCCCAGGATGAGGAAAAGGGGTGGGGAGGGAGCCTTGGCAAAAGAACTTCCTAAATATACTGTCCTAAGTATACAATCCAGAGGGGAGTGGAGGTTTTCAAGCCCTGGGCGCTGAGAGGGTCATTGGTTAGCAGAGATCAGCCAAGGTGTACCTTGAGAACTGCCTTTGGCCTCCACTCTTGGTAATACCCCCAAACCAGGACGCCACGTGAGTGAATAGCTGTACAAAGAAGACTGGGTTTTGCCTGGGGAGCGCACATCGCAGGGAATATGTCCCCTGCCCACGTCAGCTTCTTTCTCCTCTTACCCCTTGCCCTCTCTGGGCCATGGGGTCTCCATTTCAGTGCCCAATCAGGTGTGTGAGTGTGGGGGGGAGGAGTACTGGATTCTGAACTCCTACTATATTCCCATCCCTCCCGACTTCCGTGTCCCCATGGATAGGGAAACGACCAGGGGCCTCGCTGGGGCTGGGGTGAGGCAGTAGTGCTGAAAGGACCAAAACGAAGGCGCAGAGGCAAGGACCCCATTGTCAGTTCCAGCCTGTTGCCGAGCCAGGCCGGCTGACAGGGGCCCTGGGGACAGGGATGCGGCCTCTCGCTAGCTCTCGCCGTAGGTCTGACATCAAACTGACAAGCCTTTCCCTACCTTTCCTGGAAAAAGAATGATGTGCCCAGCCTCGGGGCAAGGACAGTGAGCTCTGGGCGATGGCCAGGGGGTTATCACTTCCATTCCCACGCGCGCAGGTGTGTGTACGGGGCAGGGGGGGGGGTCCTGGGGAAGGACCCCCGCGCAACTCCTGTCTGTCCCTTCCCAGACCCTCCCACGTGGCCAGTCTGTGCGCTGGGCACGGAGGGCAGATCCCCCTGAGCGTGGCTCCGGGAGACTTCGGACCTCTCCGGGGACTCAGCTACCATGGACAGCGACTTCCACGCAGCCCCTCCGACACCTGCCCCCTCCGCAGTCTCCCTCCCCGAAGGCACCTGCTCCGACAGTGGGGCGCATGCATAGAAAACACCGTGCACCCCTTTCCGCCTGCCCTTCGAGCCCCAGGAGACAGGCGGGGGTAGAAACTAGCGGGGCAGGTTGCTTCCCTCCTGCGGCGGCAAAAATGGGGCAGCGGGGGGAAGGGGCAGGCCTGCCTGGAAAATTTGGCCAACTGGAAGGTCCCGAAAAAACAAAAAAATCCCCGGCCCCAGCCCTCCCCCCTCGCCCGGTTCCCCCCCGGAAAGGGTTTGGGAGGGGTGAGAAACTTCCAAAAAAAACCCGCCCACCCCC